TTTTTTTTTTAAAAAATAAACAAATTATCAAATAGCTCCTAAAAAAAGTTTTCTTTATATTTCTTAAATTTTTTGTAAGAATACATAAAAAAACATAACATGAACGTTTATAATCTCTACATCAAAAGCTCTGAAGTAGTTAGTTGACTCGTGCGATAGATTTTTTACTGCAGTTATGAATTAAAGTTGTTTGTATAGGGTGCTTTGGCAAGGAGGTAAATAGTCAGCTTTTGGCTTTTTATTCATTTTGAGTCATGTCACCTCTCATATTTTTTATCTATTAAAAGGCAAAAGAGATTAAAAAAAATCAAAAAGTCAACTTTTTACCAACTTCTCAAAATACCACATAATTTTACATTTTTTCCCAACCATGTTGGTCAAAGCATATGTTCATTTCAAGAATCCTTCAAGGTCTCCCTATTGCTCTGTCAATTCAATGTGCAATAGTTTATAGAAGGGCAAATTATATCTATAATTTTTGTAGTTTGTTTATTGTGTTAATTTAGTTATTTTAGTTCTATTTGTATCAAGAGAAGTGATTGAGACCCCTCTAATCACCACCTCACATACATGTGGGGCTGGTGATTGGAGGAGAAGAAAAAAAAAAAAATTGAAAACTGGCTAATCACAGCCAGAGGGGGTCGTGGGGGTGCCTTCCTTGGAGGTCCAAATCATTTTTGTTGTATCAATTTGTATACTTATTTTTTTTTTTATTTATGTTGTGTCAATTTAATGTAATTAATAATATCCCTTTAAAATTTAGATTGAAATTAAGAGCAAAATAATTTATTTACTCTCTTCAAAGTGATTGAGAGATTGACGTCTAATTTGAAATGGTCCGTTTCCTGAATAATTTTGCCCTTGATTTGTATCCAATTTTGCTCTTCTGGTGTCCAATTTGAAATATTCATTTTGTTTTGAATGAATAATTTTGCCTTTAATTTTAGTTCAATTTCTAAAGTATCATCATCAATTTTATTAAATTGACATAATGTGAGATGTAATTAAAACTATAAAGACCAAATTGATAAACATTAAAAAAACAAAAAACAAGTTACATGGGCCTTGGGTATAATTAATTTGCCCTTTATAAATTGTTACTTGCGAAAGAAATATAGGCTACCAATAATTGTTAGCAATTAAGCATGGTGGTCTTATCAACAATGCTATATGCTCAACCAAAAAAAAAAAAAAAAAAAATTCCAAAAAGGTATCCAAAAATTTAAATCAATGGGCTACATTTATTGTCACATATATAACTCATATAATACCAACTTTAAATATGCTATATAAACATCGATTTCACAATAATTATCAAGATACAAATTTTGAACGCATAGCATTTTTCTGGTATTGTATAACATTTTGGAGTAGTTTTAAGTAGTGCTAAACACCAGGGACAACATATCTATTATTATTGAAAAACAAGCCACCTCTATGTCGAGCTCATATGCATATGCATATGTGGGTGGGAGAGTTGTTATAGTACACACATATATGTAAAGACAACATAAGTAGAGTTTTTCAGATTATGATGACATGCCAAACCAAGCTAAACGAACATATAAAAAACTAATTAAACAAGTAGTGACGACTCTTTTTTGCAAAGATCAATCTTAGTTATGAACCCAAACTATATGATCCTCAGGAAGGAAATGGCAAATTGGAACAGTCCCTGGCTTGACCTTGAGCACTTGAAAGGCCAAGTGTTTCGGATTCCAACCCGATGTGTCGGTATGGCACACTGCAACTGCTTCTGCCTTCGTTCCATCGAGGCGTACCATTGAAACCGAGTATGCCTTTGTGGTCTGTGTCTTGTGGCAATAAAACACTGTGTACGCGTAGTTTTGCTTATGGCACACTACGGCTGCATCGCTTGCCATCTTCTTCACTCCTTCGATAGTGTATGTTTGCAAAGGGGTTTCTTTTTTGACTTCTGTGGAGATTGCTTGGATACTTTTCCCAAGCCTGGTACTGCAGAAATCGACCATGGACTCTAGTGAAGTCGCGCAATATTTCTCTTCTCCTTTGATTCCAGGCTCTTCGCATTCTTTGATTGTTTGCTTGATTGTCTTGGCTTCCATGGAGTTGGGTTTCACCGAGAAGTAGTCAAGAATTTGTGGAATTTTCTTGGATGAAAAGGGTATTTTCTCAGCAACCTGGCGAGGCAAGAAAGTAGTCGGTGTGGTGGTTTTAGTGAAGTGCAATGTCATTTTTGTGTATTTTTTCAAGTCATTTTCCAAGAAGAAAAGAGCGATGTTGGGATTATCATGGAGTTGATCCGCAGTAGCAGCGTATTTGTAAAGGAATGGACTCGGTCCCTTTGATACTCCGACATAGACGGGCTTTCCTTTTTTTCCGGTGTTCACAGCGACACCTCCTTTCCCGACACCAACACTAGTGCCACCGGGCTTTCCTTGCCCTGCATCGACGCCTACGCCGCCCTTTCCTACCCCGACTGCGGTGCTCTTATCTTCCATCCATTCTGCAAATTAAGAAGATAAAATTAAGTATGAGGTTTGTGATGTTTTCTCTCCTATGTATCTATTTCTCTCCTCTTTTCTACCTCTTTGTTCTCTCCATGATTTAAATGAAAGGGTTGTTGGCAGTGGTGTGGCCAAAAAATTTATTTAGTAGTGTCATTTAATTAATTATTATCCATGTCATCACATACTTCTTTAGTGAAGAAACAAGTTGTGAGGATTAGAGGATGAGGTCGAGAAGGAGGAGGTAGTGGCTCATATGTTTTTCATCTTTGGTTTTTTTTCTCCTTCGTTCTCTTCTGATTTAGGTGAAAATTGAGATAAAATTAATTTTACCGAATCAACATCCAAATAATGATCCCTTACTTTTTGTTTGAGTAAAAAAGTTAATGGAGAAATCAATGCGTGATAATTAATTCTCTTTTACGCCTAGTTTAGCATATTTAAAAAAATTTAAAAATTCAAAAAGTTACTAAAAAAATTAAAAAGTTATCACTATTCATAAATTAAAAATGTAAAAAAATTAATTTATTACATATTTTAATACAAAGATGTGACTGGTACTGAGAATTGATGGAAAGACTGTCAAAGGGGGAAAAAAAAGGTATATATATTTATTAAATTTGAGGGTAATGTTGGGCCAGTGGGGCCCACCACAGGTCCTGTTTTGATAATCTGAACCGTTCAATGTGTAGAATCTGTCGAGTATTATATGGCTATAAACAATCATATTAATCGGATATGGATAGCTACATGATTAAATCAGTTTTGTATAAACAATAGATGGTGTTATAGTTAACGGTTGACAAAAAACTAACACGATTAGATAGTTATCGATATCCGATCAACATGATTTTTTATAAATATATAGTACTCGACGAGTTCTACATATTGAACAGTTCCGATTAGCAAAACGGGACCTGTGGTGAGCCCACACAGGCCGAACAACACCGTCCAATTCAAGTCCAAAAAAGGAGGCAACCATTTTCCATCTCCTAACAGTCGACTACACTGCCTAGGTACTGTATGGACTACTCAATCACTTCTCTTATACACTTATTTATATAATTTTTTAACACATATTTTTTTGGTAAAAAGTCAAAAAGTTAAAAAGTTAATCCAAATATTCATATTTTTTTCTTCAACTTTTTAATTTAAAAAGATAAAAAGTACACTTATTTACGACATCTCAAACAACCCCTATAATTATATGAATCTCTATTTGTCAATAAGAGAAACAAGAATGACATGTAAACTCGATAAATTCATAAGCAATCCCTCAAAACAAGTTAAGTCAAAGCCTAACCTTAATACTATCAAAATATAATGGCAAAGAGTTAATGATTCAAAAATTAATGAGCTGAGTCTTGCAACCCAATAGCCACTACTAAAGAGTCACTTTTGTATCTTCACCACCAAACTATATCTTTTTTTTTTTTTTACAAACGTAATAAATTAAAAATGTTATGATTATCAGACATTTTATATAGATATTTTATATGAATAAAATATATAAAATATCTGTCAAAATAAACGATTTGAATTATCGAAATGAAATTCAAACAACGCCATGGACTGGAGAGCAACTGCCTCCTTCACAATTACCCTTTGTTTTTATATGGAAGCAAATAGCGTTGAAAGTTACCAAGTTAAAAAAATAAAAGATACAAATAAAAAATAAAATAACAAAGAGGAAAGGAGTCTATAGCCAGGGGTGGCTCAACATTAATTAGGCCGCTTTGCCCTAGTCCAAGGCTTCTCCAGAAAATTTATATATATATATATATTATGTATATAGGAAAAAAAATTATTTTTCTTTTTACCACTCTAATAATAAAATACTGATTCCGCAATGTGTGTGTGTATATATATATATATATGTACAAAGCTTGCCATAGTTGGACAAATGTGTTGCTAGTTAAAAGTTAGATATCTATATCTATATCTATATCTATATCTATACAGTATTATATAAGAGGGAGTCGATTATGCTACAGTGTATGTGGGTCTCCTTTTCGTTTGCTTGTTTTGCCCCTCTGCTTTGTTGTGGTTTCCTAGCCAGCTCATAGCTCTCGTACAGCAGCCATGTCGTCTTTTGCTACAGTTTTTGGTGAGTGTGAGAGAGCCATGTCTTTATATTTTCTCAATCTATTCTCTAGGGCTGCTTACGGGTCGGTTTTGGCCGGTTGCGGGTCAAAACCGACCCAACCTGCACTTATGCGATTGGGAAAAAATGGATCCGTAACCGCCCGCGATGTGGTTCGCGGTTTGTGCGGGCGGGTGCGGTTCGGTTTGCGGTTTAGTTATTTTTTTATTTTTTTATTTAACTTAAGCAAATTTGACATTTTTTGTTACTTTCTAAACACTTTTTTTTTTAGAAAAGTTATAAATTAAATTACAAGATATACAATTCATGATCATAATAAATAGTCCAAATGTTAGATAAGATGATATGGAACCATACTTGAGGATAGTAATTAATCTTCCTCCTTAGCTTGCAAAAACAAACCCTTAAAAGTCAAACTAGTAACACTAATTTAAATATGCAAAAACAAACCCTTAAAAGTCAAACTAGTAACACTAATTTTAATAGTGGATTAATCTTCACTGTTTAGTTTTTAATATGCAATAATGTGATAATAGAATGACAATTCAAAATATCATATTTAACTGTGTCGACTAGACTAATGGAATATAATAATTTATATATAAATAAAAGTCAAACTAGTAACACTAATTTAAATATCCAAAAACAAACCCGTAAAAGTCAAACTAGTGCCACTAATTTTAATAGTGGATTAATCTTCACTATTTAGTTTTTAATATGCAATAATGTGATAATAGAATGACAATTCAAAATATCATATTTAACTGTGTCTACTAGACTAATGAAGGGGGTTGCGGGCGGGTCGGGTTCAACCCGAACCTGATCTTTTGCCAATTTCTTGACCCGCACCCGCCCGCCTGCCTACATCGAAACCGCCCAAAGCACTGCGGGTAGGGTAGGGTCGGGCGATTTGTGCGGGCGGGTGGGTTTGTTGCCCAGCCATATTCTCTCATACTTTACTGGAGTTTAGATCCTCTCCTCGAGGATCCTCCTTGAGCTCCTGCTTACAACGGTTTAGATGAGCCATTGGTCATCCAACGGCTCAAATTAAAAAAAAAATTAAAAATGAAATGTTTTTGAGTTCCTGCCCAAATAAAACAACAACACAGCTCAGAGATTCACTCTCACTCTCACACAGCACTCTCCTCCGTCGAACCCATCCTCACGCTTCGTGAACCCCACCGCGACGACCACCATCGGTTGAGCAAAGATCTCTTCAACACGAACCAGGTTGGTCTTCGAACAAAGATCTTTTGTCCTCTGTTTTCAATTTTGTTTGAGCAAAATTCCATTGCTCAAGAAGAGCTAACAGTTTCAAACATAGTGAACCCTGTGTAGAATTCCATCTTTTGTCCTCTGTCTTCACGAACCAGGTTGTGGATATACTGAACCCTGTGTAGAATTCAATGTTCTCCAAGATCATATCTGAACCCTCATGTTTTGTTAATTACAAATTAGATCATATCTGAACCCTCATGGAGACATTCTCATTAATCTACCCAAAAAAAAAAAAAAATCCAAAAATTGACAGCCTGATTCCTAGAGAGAGAATTTTATATATGAAGACTGGTCCCGTAATATTTGATAATTTTCCCTTGTATGGTATGCATTAGAATATTTGAGGTACAGTGAGTGAATATAAAGATTCTTTAGGATGAAAGTTAGGTCTGATTTCCAACATTACAGTGATTGAATATAAAGATTCTTTAGGATTGAATATAAAGATTATTTGAGGTACAATGAAAGCTAGGTCTAATTTCCAAAATTACAGCCTATTTAGACTATATTGTCACTGATTGTAAACAGTGGTGGAAAAATCGATTTTAATATATATGACAGAGTTCCAACATAAACATGTAGAAATGGAATTTTTTAAAACTGAACTTAGTCTCTCTATGTTTTTATGTATGGTTTTTTTTTTTTTTTAAAAACTGAAATTATGTTTTTTTTATATGGGTTTTCAGTTGCATTTTGATATCGATATGGAACCTGAGAATGATTGTGATTGGAAGCCAAAACAAGGAATGACATTTGATTCTGAACAATGTGCGTATGATTTTTATAATACATATGGAGGAAGAATGGGGTTTAGCATAAGAAGGGATTATTGTAGGAAGGACAAGTTCATTAATCAACTTATTTGTAGACTTTTGGTTTGCAACAAGGAGGGATTTCGAAAGGTTGACAAGCAAGACTCATTGTCAAAAAACCCTAGAGCTGAAACTAGGACTGGTTGTGAGGCTCGACTTTATATTAAATTAGATGAGGGTACTGGGAAATTTGTTGTTACTGATTTTAGAGAAAAACACAACCATGATCTTGTATCACCCGAGTGTGCCCACATGTTACCGTCACAAAGAAAGATATCAACTACCTAAGCAATTCAATTAGATTTGGCGGCACAATCTGGTCTTCGTTTAGGCCAGACTTTTGAACTCATGGGTAGGGAAGCTGGTAGAAGGCAATGTCTTGGGTTTACGAAATTAGATTCTAAAAATTATTTGAGAACCAAAAGACAACAAAGTTTAGCATATGGGGAAGTAGGCAATGTGTTGCAATACTTTAAAGAAAAATCTTTGCAGAATCCTTCATTCTTTTATGCTTTTCAATTAGATAATGAGGAGCAAATAACCAATATGTTTTGGGCCGATGCACAAATGATCATGGATTATGCCCAATTTGGTGATGTTGTCACATTTGATACAACTTACAAGTTAAACAAAGAACATAGACTCTTCGCATCTTTTGTGGAATTCAACCATCATAGGGAAACAGTGATATTTGGTGCAGCATTGTTGTATGATGAGACCGCCGAATCGTTTGTATGATTGTTTGAAAATTTTCTAGAGGCTATGTCAAGAAAGGCACCAAAAACTTTGTTCATCAATCAAGATGCTGCAATGGCTAAAGCCATACCCATCGTTATGCCTGATACAAGTCACCAATTGTGTACTTGGCATTTGATGCAAAATGCATTAAAACATGTTAACTGTTTGTTCCAAGATAAGGGGGCGAAGGGTGTACTAAATAAATTCTTCTTTCACATTGAAGATGCAAATCAATAGAAGTTAGAGTGGGTAGAAATGCTTGATAAATATGATGCACATGAAAACCATTGGTTGAAATTGACTTTTGCGGTGAAAGAAAAATGGGGCTGGCTTTACGTTAGATCAACATGGGCTGCAGGAATGAGTACCACGCAACTTAGTGAATCTTTTAATGCTTTTTTTAAGGATTACATTCGTTCTGATTTTAACTTAAATGAATTCTTCATGCATTTCGAAAAGGTACTTTACGAGAAGCGATGCAAGGAGTTAGAAGCAGGATATGCTTTGTGCCAAAGGTTGACAAAGGTGAAAGCAACAATAAGAATGTTAATTCAAATGGGTAATGTCTACACAAAAAATATCTTTGAGGAATTCCAAAATGAGTACTTTCAATCCATTGAATCGGACATAGAAGCAATTGAATATGGGGAGGCTAGTACCATTTACACAGTTGTTGATGTTGGTAACAAATATGCAAGGAAAGTGACGATGGAGAGGGATGACTCTTTGGGTTGTAATTATACAAAGTTTGAAAGGGAAGGAATCTTGTATTGTCACTCATTGAAGGTTATTAGAGACATATTGAAGATGAAAGAGGTTCCTCCACAATATATTCTGAAGAGGTGGACCAAACAAGCAAGAGTCGAAACTATGAAGGACATTAAGGGGAATGACATTGAAGTAGATGTGAAATTCCAACAAGCATCGCGGTATAAGACATTGATGATAGCATTTAGAGCACTAACAAGTAGAGTTGCTGAAACTAAAAAAACCTTTAATTTTTGTATTGCACAGCTTGCTACATTAGGTGCAAATGTTGAACGCAAGTTAAGTGCTCATTTTGGTGTTGGAAATGAAGTAGGTAATGATGATGACACCCAAAGCTTTGAAGTGGATTGCGAAAATGTGAATCATGTTGTGCAACCAAAAGAATTGAAGAAAAAGGTGGCAACTAGTAAGGGTAAAAGGAGGGTCAAAGGTGGATTCGAAGCGGCGTTGGTAGCGAACTCAAAAAAAAATCCCGTGCTAACAGCTTGGCCTCGTCACAATCTATTGCAAGTTCAACAGTTGCACCTTCTCCATTATCTGTTGGAGGAGATATATATGTTGGTCAGCATGTTCCTCCTCTTCAACCTCTTCCTCCCCTTCATCCTCTTCCTCCATCTTTGCCCATGAGTGGTAATTATATTCCTCCGCCATTGATGTATCCCACATATCATGTAAGTCTTACTTGATAAATTGTATTTTTTGTGTGGATATAATATGTGACTCAAACCATGACGGAAACCATAATAACGAAGCGTAATATATGACATTGTTGTAGGCGAACAATTTGCGGGAGATGTATGTGGTGCCAAATTATTTGCCAACTTCAATGCCTCAACGGCATTCTGCTCAGCCAACATTCCAGTCTCTACTACAGGGTTCATGTGGATATGACGTTGGGTTTCGATATTCTCAAGAATCAACTACTCCAATGTGTAGTCAGGTTTGTCCTTCATGTATTTTTAATTTATAGTTGTTGAAAATTCTAAGTTTTTAGTTGATGAAAATTCTGTGATATCATGTATTTACTTGCTAAAAATTCTTTCTTTTTTGTTAGGTTATGAACAAGCAGAAATAGAAGCAAACTGATGCTGAAATTGGGCTGGAAAGTGAAGTCATGGCCTCTGAAATTGTGAAGCAAACTGCTGCTAGAAAGTGATGTGGAGGAATGTGTGTTGAAATGTTAAATTTTATGGACCAATGTGTTACATTACATGGACCAATGTGTCAATTTTGATGGACCAATGTTTTAATTGTATGTTGGTTGATGTTCATTTAACTTGTATTGGTTGATGTTGGTTAATGTTCATTTATGTCTGCTGCTATGGTTTTGTAATGATCTTCATTATTTCTGCAATGGTTATGGTTCTGCAATGGTTATGAGTTGATACTTTCTTGTGTTACTATGGGTATGAAGAAATGGTCAACAAATGTTATGCAAACAGGTATGCAAACAAGTATACTAGTTCTATACTGAACACATGTATGCTGGTTCTATATGTTGGTTCTGTATGTGAATCAAACTGGATTGTATGTATGCTGGTTCTGATCTGTATTGAAACTAGATGTACACTTGATCTGTATTGAACACTTGATCTGTATGTGTTTGAATGGATTGTATGTATTGAAGCTCTGAAATCATGTCATGCAGAACCAGCAATGATCTTGGCCAAGTATGGTTCTGTAATGGTTATGCAAAGGTATTCATTGCTTTTGGTATGTTGGACACATGGTTTTGTAGACATGTGTGAGGTGTGAAGTGTGAAGGAAAAAAAAGGAACAAAAGGAAAAGGATGTGAATTCATTCTGCTGGTATGGTGTACACCAGTTTTGCACACCAGCATACCAGTTTGATCATTCTGTACACCAGCATACTAGCATACCAGTTTTGCACACCAGCATTCTGTACACCAGCATACCAATTTCATCTGTATGTACACCACCATACTAGCATACCAGTTTTGATCCTTAGGAATGATCATTCTGTACACCAGCAACAAAGTTATTTTGATAATTCTGCTGGTATGCATTCATAAAAACATTAAATCCATTCATAGTTAAATCCATTCTGTACACTAGCAACAAAGTTAAATCCATTCATAGTTAAACATTAAATCCATTATGTACACCAGCAACAAAGTTCCATCATTCATTCAAAAATCCATCATTCATTACATAACAGATAATAGATAACAAGTTGAAGTACATAAAACCCAAAATGATACAAACTTCCATTCAGTTTCCCAAAAGTACAATAAAGTCGAAAAGTTATATCATAAAATACAAAATGATACAAAATACAATGAAGTACACAATCTTTTTGATATTATTTTCCATCCTTTGCAGCCTTCAACCATAGTCATTTTCCATGTAATGAAGCATCATCCTTACATCGTTCAAGTCTTCTATTGTTATACCAGCAGAAGCTGTACTGTTGGAACGGATTCTGGACGTAACGTCTTCATCATCTTCATCCACGAACTTGAAGTAATTGCAATGGTGAGTGGGAGTGTTACTCTGCAATGCATGCGAATACATTAGTTCAGTAAGACAAATATTAATGTGACTAATAAAGGAAGAAAATAGCTAGAATTACCAACTTACATATTTCGATGGGCAAACAAAGAACAAACGCCCTTCATTTCCATTCTCATTCGTTCTTACAATATGTATGGCAGCGGTTCTTCCACAATTGCACATCCTCGGTAGTAATCTTATGTTGCTAATGTTAGAAGGAAAAGCCATTTTTTAAATCTGCATACATGAGGAGAGGGACAGAGTGTGAAGGCTAATGGAAGTTGTTCTAATGGAAGTTGGTGCTAATGGACAGAGTGTGAAGGCTAATGGAAGTTGGTGCTAATGGATAGAGTGTGTGGCATTCACAAAAAAAAAAAAAACTGATGCATTTGACAAACTACTAAAAAAGTTATTTTTGTGCCTGCCTTATGTTTTTTTAAAAAAACTGAGCATGTGTGTCATAGCTGGAGGAATCTCCCTTCCAATTTGATCCACCAACATCCTTCCTCATATGTGCATCTTGCATTTTATCATGTCGTTTACAATATCTGGTATTAGCTGCACGAAACTAATTTCGATTTTCATGTTCTGATTTGTGATTGTAAGTTGTTTACAATTTAGCCAAGATTGCTGCAGTGAATTAAAGTTGTATAGGTTGGGTAATGTCTCTCTCTAGTTTTGCTTTCAATCAGCCTTAAATATTCAGATTGGTCCATAAATCAGCCCTAAATCAGCCTTATTAGACATGGTCTATAAATCAGCCTTAAATATTCAAGGCTAATTTATAGAATTCATAGCTTAGAAAAAATTCATCAGTCATACATGAACAAAGCACACAGTGTAATAATTCATCAGTCATACATGAAAAAATTCATCATCAGTCATAGATGTAACTTAAAATTACAGTCATAGATGAACAAACCATTTTGGAATCATCAGTCATAGATGAACAAAGCATAGTCTCAAAGCTATGAAATTACAAGATGACCATTTATCAACATTCTCTTAAACAATCATCAGTCATAGATGAACAATGCAGAGAGTCTGAAAATGCTTAAAAAAATCATTACCAAATCATGCTCAAATTGAAAAAAATTTCAGACGTTAAAAGCCCTAAATTTTTAGCCGTTGGAATAGAAATTGAAAGCCCTAATTTTCAAATTCTAAAAGCCCTAATTTTTCAAAACCCAAATCCCTAATTCTGAAATCCCAAATTTTTGTAAAAGCCCTAATCCCTACTTCTGAAATTCCTAATTTTTCTAAAAGCCCTAATCCCTAATTTTTCAAAACCCAAAATTCCTAATTTTTCAAAACCCAAATCCCTAATTTTTTTTAAAGCCCTAATTTTGAAACTCTAAAATCCCTAATTCTAAAAGCCCTAACTTGTCCATATCAATTCCAAACCCAAATCTCAATCTCAATCTCAGACGTTGGAAGACAAAAGATCTTTGTTCGAAGACCAACCTGGTTCGTGTTGAAGAGATCTTTGCTCAACCGATGGTGGTCGTCGCGGTGGAGTTCATGAAGTGTGAGGATGGGTTCGCTGTCGGTGAGGATGGAGTTCGCTGTCGGTGAGGATGGGTTCGCCGGTGAGGATGAGGATGGGTTCGACGGAGGAGAGTGCTGTGTGAGAGTGACAGTGAATCTCTAAGCTATGTTTTTGTTTTGTTTGGGCAGGAACTCGAAAACATTTCATTTTTGATTTTTTTTTTTTTTAATCTGAGTCGTTGGATGACCAACGGCTCATCTGAACCGTTGCAAGCAGGAGCCCAAGGAGTATCCTCAAGGAGAGGATCTGAACTTCTCATACTGGGTTTAATTGGAGATTTAAGAAGGGTTTTAAAAAAAGAAAATAAATAAAATATACTTATATTTTATTTCACACATTTTTTTTCTCCTTTCCCTTCTAAATTACTTCCTAAATTTCCAATCAAACACATCTAAATTCTCTATTGCTATCTCAAACTCTCACAGCTCCTCTCTTCCAATGGCAATCGAGGATGTCAAACAGCTCTCGTTTTGGGCCGCCATCATCATAGGCAACAAAACTTCCATTTCTCTCTCTATTTTTTTGAAATCTGGTTCTTCTCTAATTTGATTATGACATAATTTTGAAATCAGTTCTGAAATGATTTGATTTTGGAAAATCAGCCAGGATGTTAATTGAACTAAGTGAAATGTGAGTAAAAAGTGTGTAAAATTAAATGAAATATTTTCTTTTTTCCTTTTCAATTCCCTTCACAAATCTTCTAACCAAACATAGCGTAAGAAAACTGGCTAAAGTTTTACTTTGCACCTTCACATAATTCCTTCAGTAGGGCAACTTACATATAACTTCAGAGATAAACAAAACCTTGAGATGCACGGACTGCATCTAGGTTGGTGGGTGGGGAATAATTGAAGTGTCACCAATCAATAATTTAATTCTTGTTTGTTTATATATGACATACCTACCCCCAAAAAAAAAAAGAGATGGTTTGATTTTTGAATGTCTTCTATGATTGAAATGGTTCGGTTTGTCACTCAAGTTATGACTTATCTGAGAAGTTATTGCTTGTTTTCCTTGGGGGAAATAACAATTTAGTGTTAATTTGAAGAAAAACAAATTTGAAATTGGTGGTAAAATTTATGGAATTATTGGGATTTCATTAGATTTAGCGGCACAATCTGGTCTTCGTTTGGGCCAGTCTTTTGAACTCATGGGTAGGGAAGTTGGTGGAAGGCAATGTCTTGGGTTTACGAAATTAGATTCTAAAAATTATTTAAGAACCAAAAGACAACAAAGTTTAGCATATGGAGAAGTAGGCAATGTGTTGCAATACTTTAAAGAAAAATCTTTGCAGAATCCTTTATTCTTTTATGCTTTTCAATTAGATAATGAGGAGCAAATAACTAATATGTTTTGGGCCGATGCACAAATGATCATGGATTATACCCAATTTGGTGATGTTGTCACATTTGATACGACTTACAAGTTAAACAAAGAACATAGACCCTTCGCATCTTTTGTGGGATTCAACCATCATAGGGAAGCAGTTATATTTGGTGCAACATTGTTGTATGATGAGACCGCCGAATCGTTTGTATGGTTGTTTGAAAATTTTCTAGAGGCT